ATATCTGCAATATAAATTTTAAGAATTAAGTTTTTGTTGGCTTCTTAAACTATTAACATGGTTCATTCCTTACCCTGTATGCAGACCAGTATGCCAGAAGTAATCTGTTTAGGAAGGAATCTTACTCTTTTCCCCTTTCTCCATCTGTTTCCAGCTAAGCGTGAGTAGTGTCAAGGTCAACAAATGTGTACGACCATGGTATCTAATTGGAACAGTTAGATTCAAGTCCAGTAGCACCTTAGAGACTGTGACAGACAGTAAACAGTTAATGCTGTAACCTGGTCTGAGAACCTAGAGTGACAGGGAATTCTTATAGAATTCTACAGTTGAGAGTGTCAGGAGTGCGACTTAAGAAGGACAGTCAAAACTCCCATCATCAGACATGAGTAGGAATGGAGATCTCTTTTTTTAATGAATAATTAAAAAAAACACACACACACACACATAAATTGAGGGGTTCTGTTACATCATTAAGTTGTCTGTTTAAATACCTCATACAGTATTTAGTTATTTATTTTCTATATTCCACATTATATTTTTGTGTAAGTCTTTTGCATATATTTAACAATAAAGTTCTTATTTCCTTCTAGATTAGCTGTATATACATATATTTTATTTATTATAGTCATTTGTAACCCATTTGTAAAATCTTGACCATGTATTCTTATCCCAGTTAGAAGGTGGGAGGGTAGTTGTAAAGAAAGCTTGTAAAGGATGCAGAGATACTATGCATATTGTAATCAGCTTGATTAGAGCGGAGGGGAAATATTTGGAGGGGGGGAGAAAATTAGCATGGGAGGACAGCCTCATGGTAACAGGTATAGTTCCCTCCTCCCCTGACTTATGGTTGGGGTTTTTTTTTTGGGGGGGGGGTTATGCAGTGGCAGCTAAGGTAGAAATGCACCACCTCATATGCCATATTTCTGGGTTCCAATGGTCTGGAAAGTGGTTCCATAGCCAATTGCACGGTTGCCAACTCTGGGTTGGGATATACCTGTAGTTTTGAGGGGTAAGAACATAAGAGAAGCCAATGTTGGATCAGGCCAATGGCCCATCTAGTCCAACACTCTGTCACACAGTGGCCAAAAATACCAGGTGCCATCAGGAGGTCCACCAGTGGGGCCAGGACACTAGAAGCTCTCCTACTGTTGCTCCCCCCCCAAGCACCAAGAATACAGAGCATCACTTGCTCCAGCCCAAGAGTTCTTATCTCTACCTTGTGGCTAATAGCCACTGATGGACTTCTGCTCCATATGCTCCCTCTTGAAGTTGTCCATTCTTGTAGCCGCCACCACCTCCTGTGGCAGTGAATTCCATGTGTTAATCACTCTTTGGGTGAAGAAGTACATCCTTTTATCTGTTCTAACCCGACTACTCAGCAATTTCATTGAGTGCCCACGAGTTCTTGTATTGTGAGAAAGGGAGAAAAGTACTTCTTTCTCTACCTGCTCTATACCATGCATAATCTTATAAACTTCGATCATGTCACCCCTCAGCCGTCGTTTCTCCAAGCTAAAGAGCCTCAAGCATTTTAACCTTTCATCATAGGGAAAGTGTTCCAACCCTTTTATCATTCTAGTTGCCCTTTTCTGCACTTTTTCCAATGCTATAATATCCTTTTTGAGGTGTGGTGACCAGAACTGTACACAGTACTCCAAATGAGGTTGCACCATCGATTTATACAGGGACATTATGATACTGGCTGATTCGTTTTCAATTCCCTTCCTAATAATGCCCAGCATAGCGTTGGCCTTTTTTATTGCACTGGCACACTGTCTCGACATTTTCATTGACTTATCTACTATGACTCCAAGATCTCTCTCTTGGTCAGTCTCTG